ACCTGTAAGAATTGCAAAGAAACTGATCATGTTTTAGTTAATTGTTCGACTGTCGAATGCAGATATTGTCATACTCATGGAGATATTCTAGAGAATTGCCCGACTTGTCCTTCACGACCAAAAAGTAAGGTTGCTAAACTCAAGACCATCTCGAAGCCTAGCTTTACTTCCGTCTCTGCTGCTACAACTGACAGTTCTATTGTTATCATTATGAGTGATATTAAAGCACTATTCAAACATGTTATCTCTTCCAATTCATCTACGACCATGTTTGTCACTCTGGGTAATCCTCATTGGCTTTTTGACTGCCTGTTGTAACCATATGACTAATGATGTAAAATTATTGTCCACCAAATCACCAATTTCCTTCTTTCCACCGAGCCACACTGCCAATGGTAGCAAAATGAATATCACTTACACTAGTTATGCATCTACCTCCAATCTTAGTCTTTCTGAAACTTACTGTATCCCTAACTTATCCCTCAATATTATCTCTATTAGTCAGTTATGTGAACAATGACTAAATGTTAATTTTTCCCCTTCATGTTGTCAGGTACAAGATCCACAAATGTGATAGATTCTTGGGACGGGTCGCAGGGTTGGTCGATTATTTGAGCTTGTCTCTCTGCATCTTCCCCAAAAATTTTTGTCTGAAGCTATAACTATCAACTCTTCTATTCACTAATGACATCTTCGTCTTGGTCATGCCTCGGCCAGTAAAATTCAAGCTTTAATTTCATGTGGCTTGTTAGGATCTATAAAGTTTAAGTCATTTAATTGTTTACATTGTCAACTAGCAAAGCAACCAACGTTGTCGTTTAATCTTAGTAATTCTTTTTCAGAGAGTCCTTTTGGTTTAATTCATTCAGACATCTGGGGTCCTGCCCCTATTCCTTCAATAAATGACTTTCATTATTTTGTGTTATTTATTGATGATTATTCTCATTTTACATGGATTTATTTTTTGAAAAATCCATCTGAATTGCCAAGAATCTACACTTCATTTGCTAATATGATTAAAACTCAATTCTCTTCTACTATTAAAATTCTTCGAACAAATGACGCTATGGAATATAGGGATTCTTCTTTACTCCAATTTCTTAGTCAATAAGGTACCTTAGTTCAATGCTCTTGTCCTCACACTTCCCAACAAAATGGACGAGCTGAACAAAAACATCATCATATTCTTGATTCTGTTCGTGTTATTCTTCTTTCTGCCTCTTGTCCAGAAAAATTTTGAGGTAAAGCAGCTCTTAGTGTAGTATACAAAATTAATCGAGTCCCTGTCTTAGTTCTCCAAAATTTATCCCCTTTTGAAAAATTATTTGGGAAGCCTCCTGACCATTCCTACTTAAACCATTTGGATGTGTTTGTTTTGTTCTTTTACAACCCCATGGACGTACAAAATTAGAGACACGTGCGCGTTTATGTTGTTTCCTTGGGTATGGAATTGAACACAAAAGGCATCGTTGTTAGGATCCTATTGCAAATAAACTTTGCATATCACGTCAAGTTACCTTCTGGGAAAATTCCATGTTCTCATCCCTTTCCAAATTTCACCACCCTGTCGAAATTGACTCCATGTTTCGAACTAGCTCCTCAATTGAGTTATTTACAAATCCTGATACGGTGAATTATGATGCGCTCAATACTAGGCCTTCCACGCCTGCTCCTACTGACTCTAATCCAGCTGCTGGTCCTGCAACTACACCTCCACCTACTCTTGACACCATTCTTCGTCGTTCTACTTGGGCAAGAGAAACTCGTCGTTCTCTTACTAATTTTCATTGTTATTCTACTATTGCAACCCTTCATGAGCCACACTCTTATCGTGAGGCAAGTACTGACCCTCTTTGGCAGCAAGCAATGTCGGAAGAACTTCAGGCCTTGGAGAAAACTCATACTTTGGACTTAGTCGATCTTCTTCCTCATAAGTCGCCTATTGGTTGTAAATGGATTTTTAAAATCAAGACTCGCTCTGATGGGACTGTTGAGCGCTACAAAGCTCGCTTAGTAGCCAAAGGTCACACTCAAGAATATAGGATAGATTATGAAGAAAATTTTGCCCTGGTTGTTCGACTAACATCAGTCTGTAGTCTATTAGCTATTGATGCAGTTCATAAATGGAAGCTTCACCAAATGGATGTAAAAAATGCTTTCGTTCATGGGGATTTGTCGGAAGAGGTGTATATGTGTCCTCCTCATGGTTTTTATCCTCCCCATAAAGTTTGCAAGCTCCGACGAGCCTTGTATGGATTAAAACAAGCTCCTCAAGCCTAGTTTGCCAAATTTAATTCTATTCTTGCTCAACTTGGTTTTATCTCTAGTACACATGATTTAGCACTGTACGTTCGACGAACTAGCCATGGTATTGTACTTCTGCTAGTTTTTGTTGATGATATGATAATAACTGGTAATGACATATCTGGTATCTCCAATTACAACATTTTCTTAGTCAAAGTTTTGAAATGAAGGACCTTGGCAATCTTAGTTATTTTTTGGGGCTTGAAGTTTCACATAATTTTAAAGGTTATTATCTTTCTCAAGCTAAGTATGCATCTGATCTACTGTCTCGAGGGGGCATTACTAATAGTAAAACTATATCAACCCCCTTAGAACTCAATTGCAAACTTACTCCCCTCGATGGCACTCCTTTTGATGATCCTACTCTATTTCGATAACTTGTGGGAAGTCTTGTATATCTCACTGTTACTCGACCTGCTATCTCATATACTGCTCACTTAGTCAGTCAGTTCATGTCTGCCCCACGCTCATCACGTTTTTTTGTTGTTCTTTGGATGCTTAGATATATTAAAGACACTCTTTTTCATGGTCTACATTTTTCTGTTCACTCCTCTTTGGTGTTATCTGACTGCTCTGATGCTGATTGGGCTAGTGATCCGACAGATCGGCGTTCTACCACTGGTTATTGCTTCTTCTTAGGAGATTCTCTTATCTCTTGGCATAGCGAAAAGCAAACAGTCGTTGCTCGTTCCAGCACACGATCTGAGTATCGTGCTCTAGCTGACGCCACAACTAAATTACTTTTGCTACGTTGGTTGTTATCTGATATGGATGTCCCACAGTCTTCTGTTACTATGCTTCATTGTGATAATAGAAGTGTTATACAGATCTCTCATAATGACGTTTTTCATGAGCGTACTAAACACATTGAAATTGATTGTCACTTTATTCGTCATCATGTTACCCAAGGCGCCATATTGTTAAATTGTGTCCCCCCTGCTAACCAAGCTGCTGATATCTTCACCAAAACTTATCCTCCCACGCGGTTTCAAGATCTACCGAGCAAACTCAAGATGGCATCCACCATACCATCATGAGCTTGAGGGGGGGTTAAACAGAAAATAAATTAATGACATTAATTGCCCGGATGTTAAACCAGAAACGAATCAATGACATTAATTGCTCTGATATGGTGTAATTAACATAGACTGGTGTCTAAGCTTAATTTATGCCCTTAATTTACTTTCTTGCTTATTCTAAACTTAGAATACTTGTATAAATATAACCCTTCTTTGTACTAATAGGAATAAAAAAAAATACAAATCTCTTTTTTCATTATTACAAATTAAAATATAAACAAAATCAAATAAACATAACGTCAAGTCTTTATCCCGTTAAAAATATATTTATTTTATATATTTTCATGTATGTTTGTTTTTTAAGTTTTAAAAATAAAACTATTTTTTTGTTGAAAACATTCAACTAAATTGTTTATTATTAACATTTTAAATACTTGTGAGATCTGAATATGAGAAAAATAAATTAAGAAATAAAAAATTAAAATTAAACCTAAAGCGCCTCTTAATCATTTGTATTGTATGAGCAAGTGGGACGAAAAAGTGGGATCAACTGTATATTTTTTTATATGAGTTGGTGGTTATCCGGTTAGCTGAAAAAGGTAATGTCACCGCTAGCCTTTCGCAGCCCACAGCCGCCGCACGGAACTCAGTCGCCCACAGCCTCCTGCTGCTTGTTATCGCTCGCCACAGGCCCCCCCCCCCGCCGCCAGCCCCCATTCTTGCCATCCGCCACTGCCTGCCCTCTGTCGTGCTTCCTGCCGACCTCTATCAGCTGCCGATTCCCACCTACGGTTGTCGCTGCTGACCCCGTCGCCGGCCACTGCCAGCCGCAGCAGTCTTTTGCCACCCACAGGTAATGCATTGTGTTGTGTTGGGTGGTAGGGCTGTCAATTTGGCTTGTTGTTCGTGAACATCTCGTGTTTGGCTCGTTCGTTAAGCCTAACGAGCCGAACACGAACAAACTTTCAAGCTCGAAATGTAAAAGAGCCGAACACGAACAATAGTTTGTTCGCTCGCTCGAAATGACTCGAAAAAAAAATTATATAACATTTTATATAACAATATATTACATATATTATTTATATCATAATATATTATATATATTTATGTCTAAGTTTAAATCATAACACCTCATGTGGCAATGTGATTAGTGTCTTCTTTTGTATATATTTGATCCAGGTTCGAATCTCACACTTTACATCTATTTTTCTTAATTTTAGTTTAACGAGCCGAACACGAGCCGAACACGAACACGAATATTTGAATTGAGTCAAACACGAACACACTGTTCACGAGCCGATTTCGAACGCGAGCCGATTTGGAACACGAGCCGAACACGAGCTAAGTCTGAGCTCGCTCAAGCTCGGCTTGTTTACCGCCTTACTGGGTGGAGCAATGCAAAGCTTAATAGTGTAGGGTATTTGGACGAAACTAAAAAGTTTTTTCTTTAAAAAAATTAAAATTACACAGTTAAACATATTTTATATTTTTTATTTTTAAAATCATACACAATTTATAAAAACAAAAAATACAAAAAAAAAGTGACTAAAAATAAAAATAAAAATAGAAAATAGAAAATGATCTTAAACATGCCTAAATTTTTGTGATATTTTTTTTCTGAATAATATCAGTACACTCTTCAGGCTGTTTCAAACTCTCCCATTTATATTTATCGCCACCCTTTTTCTTACCTCTCCCATCGTTGTCTTTCTTCGCCACTGTAAATTTTTCTCCAATCCTTTAACAACCAGCACCAAACATCAATCAGCCCAATAAACCCTAAATTCTTATTAATGCCACGAACCCCAAGAAACCCTCCTACTCCTCATCTCAGCTTCTAACATGTCTGATGAACCCAGGGCGATCTCCTCCTCCCCTGCGGCCGGCGCCGCGGGCTCTCCTGATGACTCCACCGAAATCCGCGAAATTCACGCCCTAACTCCTCCTCAGGCACCAGTATCACGCGGCCGGAACAGAGACCCCTTCGATGTCGCCAGCCATCGCTCCCTCTCCCTCTCCGTCGGCAGCGAGATGGAGAACTTCACCTCTATGAGCCGGGAGTTCAACGCCATGGTAGTCGCGGGCTCCAATCTTCAAATCGATGCTAACGCTGGCGATGGGGGCAACAACTTGGGTAGAATTGGGGAGGACGAGCTCCAGGAGACGAACCCCCTCGCCATAGTGCCCGACACCAATCCACCTTTCCCTTCCCCTCGCCCCCCGTTTTCCTCATCTTCCTCGGCGGCCGATGAGGTCTCAGTGCACCGCGTGAAGAAGGATGAGGTGAATGCCAAGATCTCGGCATGGCAGGGGGCGGAGGTCGCCAAGATCAACAACAGGTTCAAGAGAGTGGATGTCACCATCAACGGCTGGGAGAGCGAGCAGATTGAGAGGGCAACCGGTTTGTTCAAGAAGATTGAGGTATGCGATGACTATCTCCCGCCGCTGTACTGATTCGTCTGAGTATGATATTAATGGATTTTGTATGTGGATGCAGAGGAAGCTGGAGGAGAAGCGGGCAAGGGCGATGGAGAAGATGCAGAATGATGTTGCGAAGGCTCATCGCAAGGCAGAGGATAAGCGGGCCTCAGCCGAGGCGAAGAGGGGGATGAAGGTGGCTAGAGTGCTTGAAGTTGCGAATTTGCTGAGAGCGGTGGGGAGGGCGCCTTCAAAGAGAACTTTTTTCTGAATGGTTTTGAACGGTTTTGCCTTTTCCTTGCAGTTATCTTTTTAACTCATCTATAGTAAACACGAGCTCAAATTTATGATGCTAGCTTGTGTTTTATGCTCTTTATATTATTAGAATGAGAATGTTAGTGGGATTTATAGGGAGGAGTGTTATCTATATTTTTGAATTATACTAAATAAATAGATAAGGATTAATGGTGAGGAGCTTGTAATTATGGTTGCCTGCTTGATTAGTTATAGTTGTTGTAAACTAAGAACAAAAGATTTGGGTGATTGATTGCATGGAGTTATTGTTGTGCAGAGAAGTTTTGTTGATTATTGTTTTGTCACTTTCACTGTTTGGATACTTCGACAGAGGGATTGGCTAGATTTAGTAAGCTTTGCTATGCTTCTTCCCACTTGAGTTTTGGTTTCATTTGTAAATTAGTTTAGTTGTACAAATTTTTATTTTCTTCGATTTTACTCTGTTTATTTAAAATTTCTGCTTCGGCGCTCAAAACCAGAAAAAAAAAAATCATTTTGGTACGACTAAGAAAATTGCCTCATTGGTTTAGTGATGACTGCATGGCTGCATGCCTAGCACATGTAATCATTTGCGTGTGGTTATATGTAGTTAGATGTTTATCGCCTTAGGATATTGTAGCTGCTTTTTCAATGGCTTTAGTTTATCTTCTGAATATTTAATGAGAAAGTTAGCTCGAATGCAGGACTGGTCTACAACAATGGAATTCTTATAAAATAGGGTGGGTATGCCAGCATGTGTCTTTGCCTTTTCGCCTAACATATAATTCATATCTGCACTTATATCTATTGTGCTTAAAAGGAATTTTCTTGATTTAAAAGGTGAATTTTTCTAAAGATTGGTGGACAGTGCTCACCCACTTGGAACAATGTTCCATAGGGGAATTAACGAAGGTTTAAAGCTTTGTTCTTGTCATAATTAATTTTGGTGAGGGTTAGGTACTCAGAAAATGGATTAGGAACTTCATTGTTATGTGGCGTACTGCAGTACTGGTAGCTGCAATAAATTAAACGATATGTGGCAGTCATCCTCCATATTTGCTGAATTAGCAGTTACTATATCAGTAAGTGGTCTACTTACCTCCTAACAAGGCAACAAATGCCGAAAAACTCTTCTTGGAGTGGAAAGGAAGTGAAATTGGGTTTGAAAATGATAAATCTATGGGAAGCAGATCAAAATTTTGATTGTGAAATCAATGAAAAGCCAGGGTATTTGGAAAATTTTCTTTTTTTAGAACTCCATTTAGTAAAGATGATCTTTATGTCCAATAAGCCACTCTCTTCATGGTAGCACAGAGTTTCTTTGTGAAAGATCTCATGAACTGTAGTAGTGAATTTGATACTCTATTACAACTAGCCTTTTTATTCTCCTTTCAGAAATAAACGACTACTGTAAGGCCGGAATAGCAAAGTCCTGATAGGCTTGTTGTGATGGAAGTATGCAACCAACTGGCAGTTTCATGATATTTGAATTGGAGTTTTAGGGTTGATGAAATGAATTATCATGTGATTAATATGTATAAGGTTGGAGACTTTTCATTTTAGCTAACCACAGCTGAGGTCTTAAACATTAAGCCGTTGAACTTCGCTGAGAAATTCAATAAACAGCCCACCATGGTGTAGTGTTCATCTGAAGTATTTGTCAGCTTGCTAACTATATGAACCCTTAATACTCATTGACTGATAATTCACCTCTTTAATTTTTAACAGAGGGTATTGTCCTCAGGAATATGTCTTGTTGATTAAGACTCTCTTCAACCTTTCAAGCGTACTGTCACGGACAAATAGTCCCACATCGGCTAGGTGTAGGGCCAAAAAGCAGTATTTAAGTCATGGGTTGTCCACCTCTCTTAAGGGCTCTTTTGAGAGGTGAGAAGTGATATCAGAGCAGATTACTGTCTGTCAAGTGTGTGGACTCTCCATGGTCCAGTGGGACTCTCGGTAGAGCCGATCCGTGACGAGGGCGTCATGTGATTGGGTGGAGAAGAATGTCACAGACAAATAGTCTCACATCGGTTAGGTGTAGGGCCAAAAAGCAGTATTTA